AATTCAAAGTTCCTATTCCTTAGCCACCATTGTTCTTACTTCCTTCACCTTTTTGAACCTCACAAAATATATCTTGCCTCACTTATCCCTTTTCGCCGGCATAAACACTTATAAGACCAAATCGTATTTTTTAAAAACCTGAAACATATCCTTGGCATCATAATCCTCTGCAAATTCAGTGAAGAAAAATGATTCAATGTCTTCATTTTCGTCCAACCTTTTCTCACTCCTATCCGACCACACAGATGTCTTTAATGTCTTGTTCTTCGATTTTCTATTTTTCACCTCAACCCATCTGTTATTATCCTTTCCCATTCTGGGCTATTACGATACTCAGCTAACAATCCGGATTCAAGATACTAAATTAACACTAACACTACAACATGACACAAAATACAAATGCAGACAAAAAAATAAGCACCGCCACAGAAATAAACAAGTAAATCCAATTGAAAAGGTTCCCTAATCCGAAAATTAGGACTTTAAACTCAGTCAACACACAAATTCGCTCATTGTTTATGGTCAAACTTGATGTTTGTTGCTTAAAAATTCTGAGTTAATGGTAAAAAGATGCATGTGAGCATTAGTTGCGATTGCTGACAAACTTCTTTAATGAAATAGGAGGAGGAACAAAGTATATTAGCAAGGGAGACGAATGAAGACGATTAACTTGAATTATTAAATTTCATATAACCCAACACACGGTGTTTATTTTATGGAGAGCAATAAAAAAAATATAAGAAAAGATATTTAAAACAAAATCATTACAATGTAAATAACCAAAGACCATAGATTCCATTGGTATTTCTGTCATAGGACCCACGAGGTGTTGCAACTCATTGCTTCTACTTTTAGGGGTCATAAATAGGTGGACTCAATCTCAAATTTATAACTTGGTGGAGGTGTTAAATCCAATACGTGTGACAATTTATCTTGTGAGTAAAATCTAATATTTTAAGTAATTAGAGTTTTAGGGGTGTGTTGTAGTTTGTTTCTATAAGTTAAAATAACTAAGTAAAATAAAGTTAAAACAGTATAAAAAGATCTTGAGGGTTATATTGCAACTATTATAATCACATGTATGTCAATAACCAATTATACATAATAAAGTAAAAACCCAACTCTAATAAAAGAGGATTTAAGTTCACTTGGTAGCCGTACAGAAGGAGTCAAAATAGATGAACATTAGATGATTTCTCAATCTTAAATTAATTATAATTCTTCAGGCATTCGGCGTATAATCCCTATCAGCTCTCTTTTCTGGAAAATAATAAACATGACTAAAAGAAACTAAATTATATAAAAAATTGATTTTCAATTGGCAACCCAAGCCTTTATTTATTAAGTTTCAATTTTCCTAAAATTCACTTGGTGGACCATATTTTCCTCAACAAATTTAGCATGCATTGTATCGAAGAACCCTTTATATTGCATTGCAATGCTGTCAAACCCGATAGGGGAGCCAAAAATCTATTGAGAAAATACTACCAAATCATCGCGAAAGCCAAAATTATCTGAGAACTTTTTTTTGAGAATTCTACCCGTCATCTCTCAATTATGATTAAGTTCTATTTTTGCTTTTCAAATTTTTTTGAAAATTAGGCTTTATAAGTGTATTTTGGAAATTTCGTCATATATACCGAAAAATTTTGAAAAATTTTATTTTTCTAATTAGAAATTTTGAAATTTTTAATATAAAATAAAAATTTCTGAAAAAAAATATAACAGAAATTTTATTTTTTATTGGAAATTTCGAAATTTCTGAAAAAAAAAATTGTTTTACACTATCACCAATTTCAAAATTGATGGTAATGTACCGGAAATTTCGAATTAAATTTTGAAATTTTCGATATTATACCAACAATTTCGAAATTGGTGGTAGTGTAAAAAAAAATTAAAATTTTTTCACTATCGAAAATTTTAAAATTTTTGATATAGCACTACAAATTTTAAAATTTCCGATAATTTTCACACTTTTACCCAAAATTTTAAAGTTTCTGGTTAGAAAACTTTTGTTTGTTTCAAATTTTTTTTAAAGACAGTTTTAAAATTATAAAAATTTGAGAGATGTAAGGTTTAATTTTAGAATGGTAGGTAGAATCCTCGAATTTTTCATGTTTTGCAAACCCAACTTTAAGTATAATATTAGTTGGTCTAGGTTTACTCACCCAACAAATTTAACCCAAGTTTGGTTTTCAATATATCGAGTCTCTTGCTCTAGTTGGTCTGACTTTTGATAATTTCTTACATTCGAACAACCATAAAGAAGATCAATTACAAAATACATGACAATGTTCAATATAAGCATACATGTTGCTTCGAGTACATTTAAGCTAATAAATGTGAAATTAATAATGAAAATCAGATAAATTTTACATTTATCAACTCTTCCAACCTTATCATTTTGTTTTTCCCTAAAACAAAAGTAAGACAAACATCCCATGATTTATAACAATACACAATCTCAATGACTTGTGGTTTCTGATCAAACTTAAAGGTGTGCAAAATATCTGGTTATAAGACTCAAATTCATAACCATATCCAAATCCATTTTAAATATTTGGTTATAAGACTCAAATTCATAACCATATCCAAATCCATTTTAAATATTCAGATATTATGAAATGGTTATCCATCGGATTATTTATAATTGGTTGGTTATTCATCCATGTTTTATTTTTGGATCCAGTTATAATCTGGTTATTACCCAAATTCAAATTTAAACTTTCAATTTCAAACATCAGCTTATTTTCACTTCTAATGTGGCTTACTTCATCTTCATCCTCAAAAACCTCAAGACATTTTTCTTCCCCATTGCATCAAGTTTTCAGATAGACCCATTTCTCCTAATCACTACCCATCTTTTTTCGTTAATCAAAGCTTATCTTCTACCTTTTTTTACTTCAGTTCCATGGCTTAGCTCAAATTTGTGAGGAACCCTATTTCCAAATTCCATTGCAAATTTTCTCTATTATAAGTAAATTCTTCTATCCACTAAAAATACTGAAGATTAGGTTAGAATTTGGTATTGTGGATGAATAATAAAGTAATAAATGTTGCTATGAAATCGGGTTGTTATAAGAAATTGCTTCAACGACATAAAACTTTCCTTTGATGTTTTGATGGTCATAATCCTAATTATGTTTGGTTAACCCTTATGTTTTGATGGTCCAATTTCCTGAATTTTGATTTGATACACTTTGTTTTTTACCGCACAATGTAAAACAAACTTTACATTGCTACTTTAAGCTTCCAATGTATTTGTTTGGAAAATTAATTTAGAGCTTCTATGAAGAAAAAAAACATTTAGCTTCAAAACTATTGTACAAAATCAACTTTTGCTGCCGCAGAACACACACAAAGTAAGCAAGGCAGGGATGAAAATACAGTAATACCATAATCAAATATCAATCAGCTTAAATAAGTATACAGAAACATTAGAATAATAATCAAATAGAAAAATTCATTCCAGTATAAAAGCTAACTGTAAATGTCATATCATGAATCAATGAGGTTTATAACTTTTTTTCTACAATTTGAAATGAAATTCAAGTAATAAATGAATCTTTTTTTAAAAATATAAGAGAAATGTTGTTTTTAGCCAAAAAGAAACCCAACTGCTTGTTCCTCATTGCCATGGAATAGTTGAAGAGCTTGTATAACTGTATGTCTTTCAAATCCTAACTCAACAAGCTTTGCAACTTTGCTTTCAACTAAGATAGTGCAGCTAAGCCCAATAGCTTCATAACATGCCTCTGATGTTGTGCACGAATAGTATTTACTTAAGGAAAGCTAGAAAATATATAATTTTAATGTATTCTGGATACACTGACTTATGCATATTTAAAAGAAGCAAATTGTTCTCTTATTTTGTTTTAGTCAAATGGTTTGTATGTTGTCAAGTGTAATATTTGTATAAAGTTGGTTTTGATTCTATCAACACACAACTAGTTGCCACTTGTTCTTTAATGCTTGATATGTAAACCCTCGACGTTAGACTTGTCTCTTGTCCAAAACTAGTTAAAAGAGAATTAGACGGTTGGCTTTAAAGTGGTATATCTAGCCATTCATTTATCTAGGGTTCCAATATAGTCCAAATATAGATCTTAACTAACTAGACACATTTTTCTACTTTAAAATTGTTATTTTATTAAGAAAACTGTAAAAAAAATCTTCAGTTGTGAAGAGTGTTGTAGGCTAGGTTGGATTATGATTTAATCTCTTTTGTATATCAGATTATCTGTGAATATTGCATAACTGGAACACTTGGTTTTCCACAAATAATTTATCATATTATCAATGAAGATTGGGTAAGTGGTTTGTTTTTTATAGATAGATGAAATAGTTGGGTTTTCACAAATATTTTGCACCAAATAGCTATGCGAAAAATGCATCGGTTGTGGGGTGGTGCTTGAAGAAGCTCGTGAGGTGGGATTGATTTGAAAGTGGGAATAATGAAATGTGCTTGTTGGATATTTTATGGGGGATGAATGCAAAAAAAATACATTGGAAACTTGCCTATGATGTTGTGCTTTCAAATGTGGTAACTTAACTATTCCAATTTCCAACTAGTCATTTTGATTCCAAAGCATTACATATTTAGAGTGGGGCACTGTTAACAGTTGGCCTTATAATTTGCTTTTTAACTTTTTGTTAAGTGTCTTCTGCCATGATCTGACAGTAACTGTAACAATAAACAAAATAGAAAAATGAAGAAAAACACGGTTGTAGACTAAGATACCAGAAGAGGTTTTCATTTTCACAAATATAGGAATTGATACTTGTCAAGAAATAATGATTACTAATATACTTGGAATGTTATTCATTCTATCATTCACATAATCTACAGTTAGTTTAGAAGCTTTTCATAAATGTGTTTTGTATGAAATGAGCGCAATAGTTTTATTCTAAGTTCTTTCATTAGATAATTTCTAACTCAAGTTTTAGTATGTTTAAATTTTATGTTGTGATATTGAGTTTATTTTGCAGCTTATATCAAAATGAATGGTGAATCCGAGCCAACAAATTTATTTTCTACTCCTTCGCCAGTTGTCCAGAACTCTACTACTATGTTACCATCCGAAACTAGACGTCGTAAAAATCGATCTGCTATTTGGAATGACTTCAAGCTAGATATTAACTCCAAAAATATAGTTATATGCAACCATTATGATAAGAAGCTCAAGTATAATGGGACGAGTTCGATGATAACACATTCTAAGATTTGCAAGAGCAACCCAAATAATGATTTTAACAAGAGGCAACGAACACTTACACCCTCAATGAATAGTGAAGGCCATGCTCTTTCTTCCCCTTCAGTTTCAAGGTTTGATCAAGAGAAATTGCGGCATTTACTCGTGAAAGTGTTTGTAGACTTGGAGTTACCTTTCACAAAAGTGGAGCATCCAGATTTTCATGAATTTGTAAATGGCTTGAATCTAAAATTCAATAATATATCGCGTACTACACTTGCACGTGATATTTTGTTGCTATGGGATGCAAAAAAGGAAAAAATTGAAACTTTCTAGCCTTCCATTGTCAAAGAGTTTGTCTCACTTCTGATACATGAACACTATCCAAAATCTATCAATGTCCACTTTATTGACAATAATTGGAGCTTGCAAAGTAGGGTTCTAGTTTTGAACACTATCCAAAATCTCACATATATGTGTATCAATGCCCACTTTATTGATAATAATTGGAGCTTGCAAAGTAGGGTTCTAGTTTTGTCTAAGTATAAGGCCACTCAGCGGATATTATAACAAACACTATTGATTTGTGTTTGAATGAATGGGGACTTAATAAAATATTGACTGTCACACTTGATAATGCAGCCTCAAATGATCTTGCAATTAAACATTTGAAGAAGAAGCTATTATCTTGTAACCGCTTAGTATTGAATGGAGAATACATACATATGCATTGATGTGATCGTATCTTAAACCTCATTGTTAAGGAAGGGTTAAAAGATCTTGACAAGTCTATATTGAGGTTCCGGGGTTCTGTCAAATATGCCAAGTCTTATGCTAATAGGTTTGCAAAATTTAAAGAATGAGTAAAGCAGTCAAACACCTAGTACAAAGGTCTTGTGTGCCTTGATGTAGAAACAAGGCAGAATTCAACTTATCTAATGTTAGACTCAGCTTTGAAACATCAAAATGCTTTTGAAATACTTGAAATTCATGATCCCATGTACACTCGAGAGCTAGTTCAAAGTGGAAATGGTGTACCCACAAGTTTCGATTGGATAGAAGCATAATCGATTCTTCCATTTTTGAAAATATTTTATGATAGCACACTTTGAATATCTGGTTCCTCCTATGTCGCTTCTAATATGTATATGTTAGAGGTATTTGATATAGCGAAAAAGATAAATAACATGTGTATTTATAAGGATTCACTCATAAAAGGGCATGGCTTTCAAGATGAAAAAAATGACAAATATTGGGGAAAACCTAAGAAGATAAATTTGGTGTTACTAATTTCTTCTGCCTTAGACCCCAGATACAAATTAAAATTTTTCGCTTGGTTGATCAATCAGAATTTTGATTCATTAGAGGTAAAAAAGTTAAGAGACTTATTGGATACTCGCTTGAATGAACTATTCATGGAGTATAAAGATGTCGCGCATGAGTCTCAAAGTGATTCACAATTGAATCGATTTGATTTAAGTGATAAGGAAGATCTTTATAGTTACAATCATTTTTTATAGTGCACTGGATCTTCCTCTGTGGAAATGAATGATTTGGAAAAGTATCTAGAATAGTCTTTAGATAGTCAATTTACAATGGACTTTGATATTTTAAAATCGTGAAGGGAAAATTCCAATCGCCTTCCAGTCCTTGCAAAGATGGAAAAATACTTATTTTTCATACATATCTCCACTGTAGCATCTGAGTCTACTTTTAGTCTTAGAGGACGAGTGATGGATGAATATCACAGTTGCCTCACACCTCAGACAATGTAAGCCCTTATTTGTAATTACAATTGCCTTAAAGTATCACATAAATGCTCAATCATTGATGCTCTTTTAGTTTAGAACTACAAGGAGCTTGAGAAATTAGAGGAAGGTAAAATACTTATACATGTTTTAAGATAAGTAATCATTTATTAGATTATAACTGATTAATAATAAGCTGTAATTCTTGTTTATTTTTTTATTTCAGAGATAGCTTCTTCAAAAGGAAGTGGTAGTTGTTCAGGTTCTAATATTTTCGATAAAGATTGTCCTCTACGAATTTTCATATTTTGAAAATGTTCAATGATCTTTTCATTGTCCACATTATCAAATATGTCACTTTCTATATATGTAACTAAACAATCATTCAACCACTCATCTCTCATACGATTACGCAAACCATTCTTCATAAAATTCATGGCAAAGAAAAATATTTCAACAGTTGTAGTTGCCACGGGTAAAATTAAAGCTAACCTCACAAGTAGATATATCATTGGATACATAATATGCTTTCTAGTTTTCACCAACATTTTAGAAAGATTAGTGATTCTATTTAACTTTGAAAACTGATCATCAGACCGAAGATCTATGATAAAAGTCTCAAGCTGACTATATGATAACACGAAATCATATAGATATTTTTATGCATAATTCAACTAAAGTCTAACCGTTTTCGATCCGATTTCGGGTTATTTCCGTGTATTTGTCTGATGTTTTGCAGGTATTCAACGATCACGTCTAAACAAGGCAACATGAAGAAAAGAAGCAATCTCAGATGAAATATGGACGAAAAAGGAGTGAAAACACAATGAAAAGCACAACAAGCTGTTTTTGCTGATGTGACGATCGTCACAGCTTCATGACGACCGTCACACGGGTGACGACCGTCACACCTTGTGACGACCGTCATGCAGGCAAAAACGCCCCACTCAGATTACACATCAAAGAATCAGTTCCAATTCCCACAGAGTAGACCACTACTCCCTAAATTATCTGCCTCAAGGTCCATCATCTTCAGTGATAACCGTTGGGATTCTACTTCTATAAAAAGGGAAGCAGGGGACTTCAGAAAGGGTGCTGCATTCATACCACGAAGTGCTGCCGAATTTACTTTCCAGAGCATATTTTCCAGCAATATTCTTATTTGTTTCTCTTTACCTTTCCTGTATTGCTTTTTCCATTCTTCTATAATTTCTACTTGTACTGTACGATCAATTTGGCATTAGAGATCAGAATCCTGCCAACATCTGTGGAGGATCTGCCCAAAGGCCAATTGGAATATTTACAGGTTTTCATTTTGATCGATTTCAGTTTTATTATAATGCAAATCATTATTTATTGTTTTTATTTATATTTTATCTTTCCCAAATCCATGTCTAGCTAAACTTAGGTAATCGATATGTAGTAATAATTCGAATGAGATTTGATAATAACTGGTTGAGAAACTTTCTTTTCAAAAAAGTAATTTATGGTCTGAGTGTTTAAAATTGATTCACTGAATAAACTTCGTCGCGAAAGCGAGAACTTATTTAAAAGTAGTTTTGCCACGAAAGTGGGAAATTAATTAAGATACGAACCAACAAGCGAAAGCTGCGGTAAGGTCAGATAGTAAACACCAGTCATTTATTTTAATAACAGCGAAAGCACTTTAAAATGAATTAGAACTTAGAGATTTCCAAAAAGTAATTTTAACCCCGAACGGGATACGAAAGTGTACGTTTGGCCCTTAGGATTATGATTAGCGTCAATAACCATCGTGAGGCGAGAGTCTTCAAATCTCCATTTTCTGCTTAAATAAACTTTGAAAATTACTTCATACACCAGTAACCTATCAAATCCCTGAAGAACATAATTACTACGTATCGATTCAATCAATTATAATCTAAATAGTATTCTTAGTTCCCTTTTAGTGACAATCTTATTCCCTTAAACATATTCTACCTAGCTAAACATAGTAACTCCCGAGAACACTAGTTTGACTACGAGTCCCTGTGGGATCGATATCTATTATTACTACGCGATAGACTATGCACTTGCAGTTAGGTTGTATTAGACATAGAAAGTCGCGATCAAGTTTTTGGCGTCGTTGCCGGGGACCCGTTTAGTCAATAGTGTAACCTTCTGTTACGCCGTATAGACTAGGTTAACAATTTTCATTTTCCCTTCACTAGTTCTGTCGATTGTATGCCAAGAAATCGCCCGCAAAGCGATATCGTAAAACCTTCAGTCGCAGAACTAGAACGCTTCTTACATCTAAGGAGTAGAATCATTGAGTACCAACTCAAACAACTCAAACATAACACTCCTGAACCTCTCACTCCCATTTCCAAATCAGAAGAAGAAGAACCAAAGATGGCTGAAGGACCTCCAAACAAACCGCTGAAGGCATACGCTACACCATCTCAGATGGAGCCTAGAAGTAGCATTGTTACCCCAGCTATTACCCGAAATGATTTTGAGCTGAAACCATCATTGCTGTCGGCTGTACAACAAAACCAATTCTCAGGAAACGCAACTGAGGATCCGAACGAACATCTAACGAAGTTTGTACAATACACAGACATAGTGAAAGCAAATGGAGTTACTCCAGACGCGATAAGACTTCGTCTTTTCCCATTCTCTCTTAGAGACAGAGCGTGGACATGGTTACAATCGTTACCATCCAACTCCGTTACGACGTGGGAGCAATTGAAGAATGTCTTCTTAGCGAGATATTTTCCGCCAAGCAAAACTGCCATGCTTAGAGCTCAAATCAACGGATTTCGACAGAAAGATACTGAATCTCTTTACGAAGCATGGGAACGATTCAAAGATATGATGAGAACATGTCCTCACCACGGTCTAGAAGACTGGGTGACAATCCATACCTTCTATAATGGGCTTCTATACAATACTAGATTGACAATAGACACTGCTGCGGGCGGTGCACTTATGGATAAGCCATACGATGAAGCCTATCAATTAATAGAAAACATGTCACAAAACCATTGCCAATGGGGAGGTGAACGCACTCCAACTGAGAAAACCACAGCGAAAGGTGGGATGTACGAGATCAGCAGCCTTGAAAAGTTCAATGCTAAAGTAGATGCTCTAGCACAGAAAATCGATAGTCTGACCGTTAACCCCACTGCAACTGTCGCTGCAGTAACTCCAAATTGCGAGTTATGCGGAAGCACCACTCATAATGCACCCGAATGCCCATTGCTAGCCGGAATCCCGCCAGACCAGGTAAATTATGCTCAAGGAAATCCCTACGCAAATACCTACAACCCAGGTTGGCGAAATCATCCAAACTTTTCTTACAAAAGCGAAAATGCATTGCAAATGCCTACTGCTCCGCCAGGATATCAGAAACCAGCTGCTCAGAATGCACCTAGGAAATCGAACCTCGAATTGATGATGGAAAAGTTCATAGCTACTCAAGCTCAAACAAACAAAGAGTTCCTGAATCAAAACATACACACTAGCGAGCAAATTAAACAGTTGACAGGAAAAGTAGACGCGTTAGCCACCCACAACAAAATGTTAGAAACTCAGATATCACAAGTGGCTCAACAGTAAGCCTCTGCT